CCTCAAGGTTTGCTGAAAAGGACTGTCTGAATGTTTATTTTATTGTTTATACTGGGATAATGTTTGATTAGTTTGTTACATCATGGTTTAAAAGGTGATTTGTCTCTGGTTTTGATTTAACTGTTTCTATTGACTGACTCTGCTGTGGTCAGTGTGTTGTAAATCCATTGCATTATTCAAAGCAAAAGAATATTCCCAGCACAACATTACATTGGGCCCACTTATATAACCACTTACACAACACTTCATAAAGTCTGAAGGTGGGTCTTCAGACTTTAAAAGGGTTATGTTACTCCTTAAATTGTAAGGTTTTCTAAGTTGTTTTAGTTTCATGCTAAAACATTCAAATTTGGAAAACTAAATGATCACTTTATTTTGTCCAGGCTTTACTGCATGTAGAAATTGAAAGCTAATTTGTTTTCTCAAGTGACACCTATTACCTAAACCTTCACCTTCTCGCAAGAACATGCACATCTAAAGTCAAGTACAGTTCCAGCACTGAGTTGATACATACGTTTTCAAAGTGTTCATCCATGTTACCATGGAAAAGTGATGCATGAGCTCACACACAGTCAAAGAAATCACATCTGTTTCAACACCTGCTATGAAAAACTTAAAAATGCTTAATAAAAAGAATGTCAGTTTAACTATACTTTATTTATTCTTCATGTTGTGGGGATGTAAAGCTGTTGGTATAGTGGCTTTGTGGGAGACACAACGTACTTTTTTGTCAAAAAGAACATCATGGCATTGATCCACACAACATTTTAATAAAACTGTGTTAAAGAGATGAAAGATGGCTGTTCTGAAGCTACGCCAAACATAATTAGAAGACAAGCATAATCAAAGTAACTCTGAGGTTTTGAATAGTTGGACTGAGAGTCAATGTAATGTCATTTAGTGTCACTACGTGGTAAGTTGGAGAAATTCTGAGATTTTTCAGGCTAAGGACCTACCTTACCTTCACCATCACCTTAGGCTTACTTAAATTTAAATTAGGAAAAATACAAGTTCAAAGAGGCTTTACATCATTGATAAGAGTCGAACAACTTAAGTAATAGATTGGCTTTTTCAAATGTTTTGAATGAATAGTTGTGTATCATCTGCATAACAGTGAATAGTCATGTCATATTTTCTGATGATTTAACTCGCAAAACAAAATAAAGGTGGAAGTAAACGAGCCAAAACACTGATGAATATTACAGCTAATACTGGAAGGACTAAATGACACAATGTATGCATGTACAATCTGAAATCTATTGGAAAAATAGAAATTTAACTTGTCTACATCTGTACCTTTTATTGAAATTATTGTTTTTACTTCACATTTTTTTAATCAGTAGTACCAACAGACACACTAAGACTTAATAGAAATGCGTAATAGAAATACGTTGTGAGCATTTGAATGGTTGTTTGTCTTGTTTGTCTCTGCCTGTGATGGTCATGGGAACTGTCCAGGGTGTACCCTGCCTCTCACACAATGATTGATGGGTATGGGCACCAGTGACCCACGCGACGTGGAAAGGAAGAAGTAGGTAAAGATAATAACTAAATGGATGGATGGATAGATGAATGATGGATGGATGGAAAAGTAACAGAGTTTAATAAAATCAGTTTCAGCTCTGTGGTTTCTCTCAGTCTACCAAAACTCCTCGTGTCTTCCTTCCTTACGTGAACAGGTCCCTCAAGCGGGGGTCGCCACAGTGAGCAAACTCGCATGAATGATTTGGCAATTGTTTTATGCCAGATGCCCCTGGCCTTGATCCACAGCCACGGCTGTAACCACTGAACTACCACGTCTCCACAAAAACATTCCACATACAAACCAATAATTTTGCAAGTAAGCAGTTAATTGTTTCAGGGCTTACGTTTAAGATAAAAGTGAAGTTAGATGTGGGTTTACTTCTCCCTTAAACATCTGTGACAAAATATATATTTTAGAATGGTTTATGACTAGCTAAGTCAAAGCCTGTAATATCAAGCCAATTCTAGTAGGTTAATTTATTTTACTTGACTATTATAGGTCACATTTTGTGTAAGAATTAATGCTTCGCAAGATGATTATTTTCTGAGGTAAAGAGAAAAGAAAGGGAAATCGATTGGGGAAAAATAACCAATATAAGAGCTGAAAAACAAAGAAACAGGGCTCCAGACTTAGCAGGGTGAGTCGAGGAACATTCATCTTCATTTAACCTGAATCAGTTTATCCCCTGTGGATGTGTAGAGTTTCTCCATGTGAGTGTGTGAGTGTGCACTCAAGGCATAGCATTGGTCTCTCAGTGTATAACTGGAGTCTGTTTAATACTGTGTGCGTCTGCATATGTGTGAACACCTCTTGTCTTTGTTTTCCTCCTGGCAGTGTACTTTAGATTACTGTCCTAGCTAATTGTAGAGGGTATTGCAGGCATTTCAAGGCTAAATTACAGCTGATGTTCTCTTACAAGCTCTCTGTCTGTAACCCGTGGGCATCACTTTGTTCTTTTGTACTCTTCAACTCTTTCTTTCTTCTGGACATGTCACACTCACATCATACTCTATACAATCTGTCATTGAAATTGGCCTCTAAGATCGATTTAGTTTTGCTTGAGTGTATATATAGACATTAGCTTGATTCTGCTGTTTTTCTACTACCAGCATATGTTTTTGCTGTTAAAAAAAAATCCTGAGAAATTGCTACACATCTCCTCGAATGTGACAGTGACATGCTTCCAGTTACGAAGCATAGGCTTTTTTGCTCAAAGTTAGCCTTCACCTCCATATTTATTCTAATGAATGTCTATAGGGGGACATGTCTAGAAATGTGCAGGACAGGCCTGCCTAGAAGTGCTTATATGTGATATATTTGACTAAGCCTGGATGAGGCTGGTTTCATCTGTTGAATTAAAACTCAGTGGAAGTTTGAGGACATGTCCTGGTTCTTCAGTTCAGCCTTAATTCTTTGTGCTATTTTAGCTGAACAAATTTTAAAAAGATCCCATTTTTATATAAATGATCAGGTGAGATGTCGATGTTGAAGCAGGAAATGTTGTCTTTTCTAATACGCATTGTGGTGTGGACATAGACAAATATGAATCCATGCAGTGACGGTAAATAATGAAAAAATGTCAACGTAAACAGAATCATCAATACTTTTGACTATTTTTAGTATGTTTACTTGACAATGCTAGCACTGAAAATGTCACATTCTTGTACTAAATTATAGATTAAATATACAAGTGTTGGAGTGCTATTGCAGGTGATACAAGGTTGAAAGGAGAAAGGCAGATAAAATAATTAAAACACAAAAGCACACACAGTGTCTTTAATGATGCCATCGTATATGAGCTTACAAACTAAATGAGACTCACAATATGTGTGAAGTTCTGTTTTAATCAAGTAAAATGCTTTTGTAATCCAACAAATCTGAAATGTTCATGATATCCTCAATAAACCTGATCTGCCAAAATAAAGAGGTATGGGGAATTATGGAGTGGGAAGGCTAAATTAAGTCCAAAGCTGTGGTTTTGCCAGCTGTTGAAGCTGGTTATTTATACTCGCACCATGGAGTTATTTCTACATTTACACTTAAAGTATTCTTTAACCTGACTTGTGCAAACATTTTAAACTTGCACTTTTTTCCTCCTGACTGTCATATTCATCAACTTAAGCAGGTGTGAACTATTTTTGCATCATATTGCTGTTATTCTCACTGCACAGTGTAAATAGGACTATATCTGTCACAAACATAGCAATCAGAAAAAAAGTCTCATAGAGAGATAATGTTGTAAAAGGATGAAGACCAATAGCAATGCGTAAAATAGCATAAACAGCATTTCACTGTATTAGATAAAATATGTTCAGGGTGTTATTTCAGAATCAATAAGTGACACTTTGTGCTTTTTAAACTATCTTTGGATCGTCTTGTTTTCATCTAATAAAGGCAGCGATGCAGCAAATTGCTTGTCTTCCTGTTTTTTTCTGCTGTATCACTTTAACCACCAGTTCCAAGAGACAGTATATTTTTCAGACAAAATGCAAACAGCTTTGCTTTTTTTAAGAGTTTGACACTTTATTTTTTTTTGGCCAGGTGGTAAGTTACATAAATATGGACAGTTTTGGATATAATACATCATTTAAATGGGCAAATTGGGCCAGAGCAAAAAAGCACTGTTAAGTTGGCAGCTGTTTTGTTTTTTCAATTCAGTTCAGTTTATTTATATAGCGCCAAATCACAACAGAAGTCGTCTCAGGGCATTGAACAGAAACAGTCACTTATTATAAAAAACAATTAGTAAAAATGATCCATCTAAGGTAGCGAACAGAATGTGTTGAATCTTCACTTTGTCGCAGTCTCCCATCCTGAGCAAGCACAAAGGCAACAGTGGAAAGGAAAAACTCCCTTTAACAGGAAGAAACCCAGCAGAACCAGACTCGGGAGAAGCGGCCATCTGCTTCGACCGGCTGGGGTTTGAGAGGAACAGGAAGCAGAAACAAACACAGAATGGCAGGTCCAGGTGAACTTTGGAGGAATGACCAAAAAAACATAAGGATAGAAATAATTACAAATACTAACAGGTAGAGTAGAGCACGTATAGACAGCAGCTGTGAAGAAATGTGGTCAGTTTGTCCTCCAGCAGTCTATAGCAGCATAACTAAGGGATACTTCAGGAAATCTAAGCCCCAACTATAGGATTTATTAAAGAAGAAAGACTTGAGCCTGGTCTTGAAAGTAGTCAACGTGTCAGCCACATGGACAGAAACTGGAAGTTGGTTCTACAATAGAAGAACCTTTTTTGTTAGGATTTTGAAAATTAAACAGGTATGCACAGAAAAAAACCAATATGTTGTTGAATCACAGCCTCTCATTAATATCTTCTAAATACATGTATAGCTTTATAAAGTCCTGCAGAAAATACATACTTTTTGATACTAAAACTGAGTTTCCATAATAAAAGCGTCAATGACAAAAACACAGACATCACTAATAAATACAGACGTGATCAGCAAAAACATTCTTACTGCTTTTAAACAAACATGGTGAATGGAAATGAAGTGAATCAATATTTCAATTAATGCCAATATTTTGTATTTCAATTTTTTTATTTTTTTTTGAACAGCAGTACCAGCATGGCACCATTTGGTCATTTTGATTATATTTAAGCTGAAATACATTCAGAATATGTCAGACTTCAGTGTCTAGATTTAAATTGATTTCACATTTCTCATGGTCAAGATGCCTCTTAAGTCTTCTCTTAGGTTTACCCTCAGCTTCAGAGGATTAGAAATAATCGAGTTGTTTTCATAAAAATATGGTTAATTTATTTAATTTTTTACTATTTGTGGCTTTACTTTCAAATTTTCTGTACAAAGACACACACTCAAACACAAATGCTTGCCACGGTAAAGCATGAATGAGAAAAAATTTACTAAATAAGTGACAAGAAAATGGGAAAATGTATTAAAAACATAAAAGAAAACGTAAAATTGTAACCCACTAATTACCAAACTCAGTGGTGTGATTGATGTTTACAGAAAGACACACTTCTAGAAATCAGACATACATACACACTTGATCACAATGCAATAAAATGCACATCCCATGCACATGCAGATTTATACCATAGGATGCATTTATATTTTATGTACATAAAAATACCTCTAAATGTATTGTTGAGTTGTTTGAATTGCCTTAAAGCTTCATTTTGACATTTAAGCTCTCGGTTTCCTCTCCCAGCAGCCCACATTAAATCATTAAACCTGCTGAAGATGGTGTTATTTTTTAGGCTGGTTGTAATAAGATACTGTGTCCAGATGGAAAAGCCTGGCCCCAAAACAACTGTTGTACTCTTCTTTCTTTTTGACATTTTCATCAAGCCTCTGTGGCATTTCTATAGTTTAGAGAGACACAGAGAGAGAAACACTGGCCTGCTGTATTTCAACACCCCTGCAAGAACAGATTATTTACCATTTGCTGCATTTGAAATACACAGTTACTAACACAAGTATAGACAAAGACAGCATTTAACCTCGAGGTTTGGTCTTGGTTTTTAAACATTTGCCTACTTTATGAATAAACCAGAAGTAATCCTGTTAAGTGGCTCTCTGCTGCATGTTAAGAGCAAATGGAAAGAGCTTCCCCGTGGGATCAATAAAGTATCACATTACTGTAAATGACATGGTGCGTAAGTTCTTCCTGTGTGACAGACAGCGAGCTCGTTTTGTCAAAGCCAGCAGCTGAGCTCCAGGTGTCAGTATGTGGTGTCATTTTCATGCAGATGTTGTTGCCCTCTGCACATTACATTTTGTGCACAATATGGTTAATTGCTATTACAAAACATGAATACGCACAAAGTGGCGTTTATTCTGTCATTTATCACACAGAAACCCTAAAAACAACCACTTCACGCACTTGAGCTGAATCTGCGTCGATGATGAGAGTCCTGTGTGTGTGTGTGTGACACATTCAGACAGACACGCTGCTTTCACAGACACACATGGCAACCCGTGACTGTTCTCCTGTGAAAGTGGTTTGGGGGCACAAACAGCTTAGCCATGTCGTGGAAATGACTTGCTAACAGATGCCAGGCTCTGACTGAGATACAACGTCCTGCAGGCAACGTTTAGAATAGAATGAATCCCTTTATTCGCCTTTCTTTGCTCATCTCTCTTTCATGTCGCTCCCCCTCTTGATGTCACTTAGCGGTGCTGAAAAAAAAGAAAAGAATGACCACTGATTCTGATTCATGGCTCCACGTCAGGGGTCAAACAGTTTTGTCATGTTTTAAACAAGTTGCTTATTGAAAACAATAACTTACTGATGTTTCTTTTTTTTTTTTTTTTTTTGTCTTTCTTCGAATATTCAGGATGGTAGAGTACTCACTAGACCTGCAGAACATCAACCTGTCGGCCATTCGAACAGTCCGGGTTCTTCGACCACTGAAAGCCATCAACAGAGTCCCAAGTGAGAGCAGTTTAAAGTACAAATCTTAGCAGAGCATATTTGTTTTTGACTTTGTTGGCCATACTGGTCAAATCCCATTTCCTGGTGTATCCCTTTGGTTATTTATTTATTTATTTATCTGAAGCATTTAAAAGTGGTAGTGGATTAAAATACTGTCATTGTTGAGCAAACGCTTACATTTGTCATAATTTTAGATTTTGTCTAAATTATTTCAATCGGCCATCTTTGATTTTAAGGATGGGTAACAAATAAAAAATGCCAAAAAAAGAGCTTGTACTTGCAAAGTTTACTTATTTTAAAAAAAATGTCATAGTGATTTTCTGTAAAGTCGAATTTTTGAGTTACGTACAAGGTTTCTGCCCAACGGTGACAATATTTGGCTGAAAAATGCCTCCAGCTGACACTACTATAACTTTATGTAAACAGATTCAAAATCAATACGCTGTCAATACTGATTCTTTTGTTTGCAACAGACATTCCTAGTAATGCTTGTTAAGAAGACTGACTATTATTTAACTACTTTGTCAAAAAACTCTGAGCTATTCCTTAATGTCTGTCTGTCTCACCACCACAACCTGCACGTTTTAGTGTCTGTTATCTATGCAGCCTGTTAGTTCACATAAATGCTCTTTCCTGAAAAATTCATGCAAATGAATTTCATTTGTATGGCATTTCTGCCATTTTCCTGCATCCTCATGCCCACCTTTTCCTGGCAGGCATGATTAAACTTTCATATTATGCTTAATCACACAGTCAGCTCAAACCTTGGGTCACAGCTTTATCAGATTGTCAAACCGCCCATTAATGCCGCTTCACTGCTCAGAGTGTGACCAAATCCCCATCCCTCTCATCTAAAACTCAGTCACTGGGCAAACTTTCTGACTCTTATTGATTTATTTGTCCTGCTGCAGTAACTGGCCGCTCCCAATCATTGAAATCAGCAATTAGCCTGATTTAGCAAATTTCAGCCTGCTGTCGTGGCTTTTATTATTTTTTTTCTGTGAAGCTAGCCAATCTTTAGCTGTCACTGTAAACTTGATGTAATTGAGTTACTAAAGATAAACACGTGATTTTTTTCTTCTTTTTTTTTTGTTGTTGCTATAATCACATAAGAAGGTGACTTACCAGTCATAATCAGTCAAATCTTCACATCACTGATAGATTAAATTTGTTTAAGAAAATCATACAAGCTGCTGCCCTTCAGGCCAGAGTTTAAGACTGAGTTCATTCTAAGAAATGACAGCTGTAGTTGTTTTGGTCAAACCTAAAAAATAAAAAAAAAAAAAAAAAAACAACATGCACAATCTCATGTATGGTAATATCACTGTATGGCATCCTCACAGTGTGTGGCGTGAATCACTCTCAGCTACTACCATATCAAATTGTAGGTCAATATCTGTAAAATTGTCAGGACTCTAGTCATTTTCATGTTCTACCAGACAAAGAGTTGACTCCAAAAACTGTGGTTCAAGTTTCAGGTCAGATTTATTTGTCATGTGCAGAATCAACGCAATGGCAAGAATGCAATGAAATGCTCAGGACGAGAAGAACCGTCTCGACTCGCCAGAAACAAAACAATAACAACAAGAAATACCAAAGCATGCAACAAAAAGCAAGGCACCAAAAGTGAAAAAGAAATATACTGATGCATGCTCAATAATCCAGGTAGAAAAATCCAAAAAAGTTCAATCTGGTCCTCTGGACATTCAAAACGATGGTTTGAGAGAGGAGTAAAGGAGGCCATCTTTGTGAAAAGAAACCGTCCATCGTTAAACAGGGGTGGAGGCCTACGTGTTCAATTGTCCCCCTCTTACAATGCTGTGATTGCTAGTATCACTCAACCCTCTGTGAATAGTAAACAGCCATCAGTGTGCTAATGATCCATTGTTAGGCTGATGGTCCTTCTTGAGCATGTGATCAGCTGGTTTTGGTTGTCAGCAGCAAAACTGGTTGATCCACTCTGAGAAGGTGCTATTTAAGAGACTGAGCTGAATACAGCACCTCAGACTGAGGAAGTCTCTCGGATGACAGACGAAATGTTTCTACATTTTTTGTTGATTTGCTTTGTTTTGTTTTTTGTTTTTTGAATGTCCAGAGGACCAGATTGAACTTTTTTGGATGAAAAAGAAATACATTTACAGCAACATGGTCCCGTTAGCACCATGGTACTGTTAGCAGTGTGGTTCTGTCAGAGGCGTGGTCTTGTTAGCAGCGCGGTCCCGTTAGCAGCATGATGATAACAACCGTGGCAACTGCCTTCCCAGACTGCCCTCCAGAACCAGGTCTGGCAGACACAGTACATCCAAGATTCCCCATAAAACCGAACGGGTCCGTAGAGTTCCGTGCATGCAGGCAGATGGAGGATCATGGAAACTGCCACCATGACATTCTGGAACCTGAGCCCAAGGCTGGAAGGGGGCCGGGAACTGATCCACGATGGCACGATGGCAAGACAGCGACACACAAAACTCAAAAAGTGCATCTCGGTCATACCCGTAGTGTGGGTGTGCAGTGTAGGCACAAAAAAGTTAAAACAAAAACAACAGGGATGAAAAAAGAGCAAGTCAAAGTGGAGCTCCCTTCAGTGCTACCATTCTGCACGTGATGTCACGTTCATTAAAATAGCAACATTAAAAATAACTATATTGTGCAATTTTAAAGTGCTCAGAATATGTGTTGGGAATCACTCTCAGCTACTACCACACCAAATTATTGGCAAACGTATGTAAAATTGATGGTTTTCTTAGCAGCAATAATTATGAAATGTGTTCACAGAACATTAGTGAGTGCACATCATTTACTAATATTGCCATTTATTTTATTTTATTCATCTTTATTTCTTTGGTTGTCAGTTTCTGTCAATCTAATGAACACAAGTACAAACATTTTCTCCATCGCCCATTTCCACACGTTCCGATGAACGAGCATGCTCTCCCGGTGAAGCCTTTCAGTAAAAGCCCTGCTCAGTCAAACACTCGAGGCAGCAGCACTCGAAGTGGTCTGATTGGACGTTGTGTGCATCAACGTGTGTTTCGGAGGAAAAGTGTGTGCAGGTTGTAAACAAATCTGCTCATTTTGAGATGGTTACGCGTCAAAGTACGAATCCCCGGAGACTCAAGTTAGTCACTATAAGCATAAATGATGTGCAGCAGACTCAGGCATTATAAATTCATGTATTTATATACTGCAGATGCCCGCACAGGCTTTCTTTATGCACACCCTCTTATGTTTATGCTGCCATCAGTCAGCTACAACTACAAGTGCATGTAGTACCTTTATTCTGTCCTCTTTTTGTGACCTCATTGGAGGTGAGGAAACAAGGGGATAAAGCTATTTGTTCTGTGTTTAGTTGGATTGCTGCTTTGCCCACAGGTACAAAGGCAGCCTGAACACATCCTGACCCCCTCACACACCTCAATTTGTAACCCCGCTGCAAAACGCCAGACAATACTTGCGTGTGGCGTTTGCGTGCGTGCTCTTGTGTTAGACTTTTGTCTTAGAGGAAATTGGTGTGATGTAGGAGAAGTGCGAGACTGAGCAGCGGGAGGAGGGACAACAAACACCCCACCGAAGAGAAGAAAGGAGAAGTCTCCTGGCTTTATGTGAATAGCCCAGGCAGGGAGCTATAAATGTGTTACTACCGAAGAGCAAGGCAAGGCATTCGTCTTTATTTGAAAACAGCAGTAGCTGGCAAACAACACCGTCATGGAGAGAGGGTGGAAAAAAGACATAGAGAAAGATGGAAAAGAGGCAAAGTTTGCTTTGCTTGGTTTGTCCATCGATGATTTGTTAACAGATCTTGTTTTTCTGTTTTTTTACACTATATTATAGCAAACCCTCCAGCATCAACTCATTCTCTCACCCTTCGTTTCTTCCCATCCATCTCTCCCTCTCTTCAGCCAATTAGGCCTAATGGAGCAGTGGCCTAATGACAAGAACCCTGGGGAACAAGAACATTTAGACTCGCCTCCAGCCACCGCTGCACACACACACACACGCACGCTAAAAACGCCACTGTTCTCCATTTCAAGTTGATGAGACAAATCAGCCAGAGATGAAAGACAAGTTTAGACTTCACCTAAAAGTACAAATTTAATTGGAAAGGTAAAAGTCTGTTTTTTTGTTTTGTTTTGTTCTTTTCAAATGAAGTGAAAGCTTTGAAAATTATTTGACGTGCGTTTTTGATTTAGTTTTTCGTCTCATGACTGACTGGTCAGTTTTAAGGAAAATTTTAAAATGGTGATCTATCCTTAAAGAAGTTGAACAAATCTAAATAAAAGAAAAATCAAGAAATATACCAAGCAGAGAGAAAAAATGTAATCCCATTCATATAATTCACTGACTGTATACACCGTACTTTCCGCTGTACACGTCGCACCACCGTATAAGTCGCATCAGTCCAAAAATGTTTAATAAAGTGGAAAAAAACATAAATACGTTGCTTCGCCGTATAAGTTGCATCTATTATGCGTCACCGATGACAACCTATGTTAGCCGGTGTGCCAAAAATCGATTGGCTGCCAAATGGCGGCCGCGGGAGCGTGCACAAGAGGACTTTAGCAAGAATTTAACAAGATTAACACTTAAAAACAATTGTTTGTTGGCTTAACATTATAGTAAAGTTGTGTCTCAGTTGAACTTTTCCTTCATAAATGCACTTCAACGGTCAAATCAGCTGCATTTCACCTGAGCGGCGCGACAAAATGCAGCTGATTGACGTTTGCTCCAGGAGTTCTGGAGCAAAACAAAGATGGCTCTGTATGGCAAGCAAAGTGTCTCATTAATAGCCACTTTTACCTATTAGTGAGACACTTGGCTTGCCATATTACTCGAGCTCCCTCTAGCGGCTGAAAATGGTAGTGTTCAATATTTTCCATGTCAGAATGAATGAAATCGTCAGCTCTCAGCCAAAAAATGTGTTATAAATTTGGGGGGGAAAATAAGTCGCTTCGCTGTATAAGTCGCAGGCATGCTAACATACGCAAAAAGGTGCGACTTATACAGTGAAATGTATGGTACTTTTTTTAATTACTTTTTAATAAACAAATAATAAATCTTAATTTCAAAACCAATTTTTAAAGAAATGTACACAGGATCTATTTTGGCTTTTAAAACCCCTATATTATTTTCAGGAATTAAAGAAACTTTAATCTGACTTTTTTTGAAAAGCTTAAACTGAAGAACCCTCATGGCACCGTTATATTTACGATAAGGCACTGATAGAAATAATTAGAGAAAGAAACCCCTATTTTAATGAGCTAAACTATTTTGTACGTCTTATTATTCATTTTTATGTGGGTTTGTGTTTGTATAACAAGTGAGCCTCAGGTGTTAATTTTTATAAAGATGGTTATCATCAGCTCCTTTCTTCTGTTTCAGCTTTGTTAGCTTTTCAGATGTGCTGTTGTGACACATTAACCGACTGCTGGGCTGCATTTCATAAATTAAAGCACACAAAAACACTTCTGAGCAGAGATGACAAACACACACCCGTAACACCAGCCTCATCTGTCTCAGGTGTCGGTGTGTGATCTCGTCAGAGCGTCTCACCTTGCTCTCTCATTAGTCCAATCAGCTGCTGTTATGATCCTCTAATCACAGTGTCGGTGCAGTATGTCATCACAGTGAGACGGGCTCATCAACTGGGGATGAGGTCATCCTTATTCGACAGGGAATACATTTGTGTTTCTGCAATTAGGTTTCTCCTAATCAGGCCTGCGACCTCATGTAGTCTGATTGCACATTTAGTGTCACGTATGTTGTTTTGTTTTTGGAGGTGTCGATCTTTGAAAGAACGGCTCATATCACACTGTTGTCTGAGTTGTATTTTTTTTCACTCTCTACCTGCATGTTTTTTTTTCCTGTCTCTCAATACTGTGTGCAGCAATTTTTGAGTGTGTGAAATCTAATCCCATTTGCTTCTAAACGCTCAATTTTGTTGCATAATACATCAAATTGTAGCTACTCTATTTAAAAAAATCACAAAGATGAAAAAAAAAACCTTAAAATTCAAGTAAACTGAAGAAACGGTACAAGTGTCTCACTGTGACAAATTTTGTGTGGCTTTTCTATATATTTCAAGAACATAAAACCGCTAATGAAATAAAGGGTGTGTGGCACAGAGACCTGTGCTGCTGCTTATTCTGCTAACTGGGAATTTTCACATGGGTTTATTTTCATTATTCAAAATGATTAATAAGACAATACAAGACTATGGAAAGTCTCCCTCATCCCACCAGACGAGCCCCATCACTGTCTATTTATAAAAATCTTAAAAACACATTTGTATTAGCCAGCTTTTGGCACTGCCTGAGACTTTTATTGTTTTTAGTGGTCTTACTGGTTTAACTGTTTTATTCTTTATATGTGTTTTAAATGTTCTTGATTTTACATGTGCATCATTTTGTTACAGCTGTGGTTGTTTTAAAATGCTTAATAAATAAAGTTATTATTATTATTAGTTTGAATGCACAGCAGTTAAGCTAAGCTCATCTGTGACCATTGTTTCCACTTTATAATCCTTTCAAAATAAGATAAAATAGAAGGAACTGTTGCTGTTTTGTTTTTGAATTTATGTTTCCTTTAGGAACTGGTGGGAGGCACTGCATTGTTTAAAAAAAACAAAAACAGTAGGGAACAACTAGGTGAGCCACTACCAAGGGTGGGTGTAGAGAAAAGTTAATAAGTACACTTTACAAAATCTTTCCTTGTTCTTGTACACATATGAAGCAGTTTGCATCTTTTAGACAAAATAGATGTGTATTTATCTGGCACCACTGCTTTGAAACTATTTAAATTTAGAAACTAAAACGTACTGGCTTCTGAAAAAGTCTCAACGCTTCCAAATCTTCTTAAAGCAGTGACGCGTCCCTGTGTCTGATTAATCAGTCTGCTGAACTTCACAGGTATGCGGATCCTGGTGAACCTGCTGCTCGACACTCTGCCCATGCTGGGTAACGTGCTGCTGCTCTGCTTCTTCGTCTTCTTCATCTTTGGCATCATCGGCGTGCAGTTATGGGCTGGGCTGTTGAGAAACCGCTGCTACCCGGAGGAGAACTTCACCCTGTGAGTGAAAACATGCACGCCTGCATGTGCCTCATGCGTTAAAAGTGTTTCCACTTTTCTTCACGTCATCACATCTGCTGGTCCCAGCTGATTCTTTTGGTTTGGATGTTTTGTCACACAGCAAAGTGAACCTTATAGTTGCATGCACTTGTTCATCTTTTTGCTGGTTCTTCTATGATTTCATCTGTCTTGTAAACCAGAAACAACTGCACCAGTAGTTTCCCCCTTTCTTACAACTGTGAACGTGATTAGCTTCCAGCTGCATGCCTTCATGCTCATGCCTCCACATGACAGCATCACCCACTGCGTCTGTGTGCGAGACACTTTCACCGTTTCTTTTTATGCTTGCATCAGCTTGCTTCTATGGCACATCCAGGATGTCTGTTGTTGTGTATGTCAGCCACGAAGCATACGTTTACACTTCTGCGCAGCATCTCTGTTTATGCTGACGCAGCATGTACTCAAGGCAGATCAAACGGTCAGATGAAAGAAGACGTGAGTCCACCATCTGTGGCTGCTTTGTTCTCTTCTTTTAAGTGCAATGGACTAATGGAGTCTATTTATAACTTGTACTTTACTTTAATCAAAGTTTTCCATATACTCTATTGATATGATTTGTGTTAAATTTGCTATAAACCTCAAAGAAGAGATAGTTTCAAAAAGGGATATTTCAGATCTTTTGAAGTGGAAAGTTTGCGAACAATAAGCATGTTACTTGTTGTGGATGACTCATTAAATGACTTTAAATTGGAAAAATAGAGTTTATTTGGGACTGGGTTGCTAACAGTGCAAAGAAAGTCAAGATCAACATTGATTACTACCATCTTAAAACGGGTCATTTTTTTATGTTGTAGTGATTCTTACATATGCTAATTTATAAACCTTTATAACTTTTGCTGAAAGTCTTTGAGGTGACTTCAGGTCAAGTTTTCTTTATTGTCATTCGCAACACATGTGGTACATGTGGTGGAACGAAATTGTGTACACATGGTCCCAGTTACATCCAACAAAAATATAAATTGTAAAAGAAAAACAGTAATAAGATCTAAGATATGAACTAAGAAATACGCTAAAC